GGTAGTTCGATTCGAGGCTCGAATCACGCGAATGGGCGGGCTGCATGGGTGCTTTTGCAATTTTTCTCCATATGTAACGTGTACACGAGCCAGTTTCCCTTAGAAAGTTCTTAGATCCGTCCCTTGGGCAGATAACCCTAGAGGCTTTGCCGAAATTGACTAAACCAAATCAAACCTATTCTCAACTATGAAATTCCAAACTGAAGACTTAAGTGCAATTGTCACTTTTAGTCAGCCTCATCCTGAATGTAACTATGTAGCGCTTACATAACTTTCGATACTATAACATGAAAAAGATTTCTTAATTGAGAATAAATTTCTCAGTAGTTGCGTGGATAAGTCTTATCCAAACTGAAGATATGTAAGTGAATAGCGAAAAACGGAGGCTTCACAGTGCAGTGTTGCAAACCCAGTAAAAAATCGCATATACGTATGCACCGAAAAGCTAATATTTTTTTTTATTATCACTATTCTTGGATTCCTTTGAATACTATTGTTTATTCTATTCTGTAAGTCTGACGGATATCAAGCTTCTTTTTAAACTTATTTTTTTTTATTATTTATTAGATTTTTATTATTATTATTATTATTCTGAAATGTATATTTTTACGAGTAAATTTTAGTTTAGAACGTTTCTCGCGGTAAGTTACATACCTTGAGGTGCTCAAATGAGTATTTAGAAGCATGGCTCTAGCAGACAGTTTCCGTAAGTTCAAAATTCGGCCTTCCAACTCCCCATGTTCGGTTGGAGGATGACGCTTTTTAAAATTCGATGGCTCTAGATACCGTTGATTCTTCACAATGCGAGAAACATTCATGCAGATTTTTCATTATTTAGTTTCTTGAAATATAACACATGGTGGCAACAGTTTGAAAAGTGATTCGACGCAAAATGCCGTTTTGAAATTAATACCCCTTTGGGCTAATTATGCAAATACTGACGCAATCCTGCATCATTAAACACAAGGACAGACTGACGGATTACGTTTAGTAAGATATTTCGTTTGTAGTTTCTATACAAAAAGTCTCCCTTCATGTTAGAAAAAATATTCTAGTTCATAAACTGTTCGTGCAGGCAGTACTTCTCTTTCTTTCCATTAAGTGACCAAACTTTCATTAGCTTATCTACCGGAAATGAGAAACGATGAATGAAAATCAGATTTAGAAATACAAAAGTTAACTTTCTTTTTGTTGTTGTCAAATGCATTAATTTCAAGAATACGATAGTATCAGGAAATATAATTTTTTGTAAATAATATGTGAACATATTCTGATTTCTGCTTTTTAAACTTCTAGTTTACTGAAATTGAATTATTTTAGTTGGTAAAAGTTTACAATTGGGTGCCCCTTGTTTTTTGGCGATTCTTTTTTTGATGCCAAGATCGGCACCAGGAAGGTACTTCTTGATGGTCGCTACACAAAAACCAAAATAAGAGGTCAAAGAATTGCACAGACTGTGTCCATGTACACATTGATCTGTTTCCACTTAAAAAACATCCTAGAACTGCACAAACTAGGCATTGCGCACTGCCTTAAATTTGTCCATGTACACATCAATCTATTTTCATTTAAATAAAATCAGAAAGCTAAAACAGAGTTAAAACTATCATGGTAACCAGAAGTGAGATGTCATCGCCAAAATTTAAAAAAAAAAAAAATTGTCGCTAATCGAAGGGGCACCCAATTCTACACTAGAGGCGTTTAGTTAAGCTATTGTTGGAATTAAGAAAGATCTCTTTAGCATAAACTTATTTAACAATTTAAAATTCATTTGATTGTATGATAAAGAATTATTTAATAATGCCTTCGATGTATAATAACTGTATAAGTTTGTGATGGTATACTATCTTGAAACAGTTAATTTCTGTAGTAACATTTAGCATCAAACAATCCTTTGGTGAACGAGAATGAGATGAAATTGAATTCAGAATAAAATTATTAGACAGATGTAGTTGCTATTTAATTGCGTTCTAAGGTATTTCTCCCGCCTTCTTAGCATGCCTTCGTAGTGTAGTGGTCAGCTCGCTCGGCGCGTATTGGAGAAGACCGTGGTTCGAGTCCCGGGGAAAGCGTTGCTCATTTTTCATCTCTCTTGCTTCGAAACAACTTAATGTTTCTACAGAATTAGCTTACTTGATTAAATTAAGGGGATTTTTCAAGTGTGAGTCTCAGTTACCTATCTATACAATTACTGAAAACATAAACTATACTTAACGAATTCTTGTATTGAAACTCATCTTTCTATTGAATATTCTAGCTCAGATGCTGGGGAATGAATTCACCTGACAGTCTGCGAACAAGCTATTTCTTATTATTAACATATACCTAAATAACAATTTATTACTTTAAAATATATCAATAATAATGATTTGATTATAAAAATAAAGTAAACCCTTTAGTCAGTTTATGTTTTCAGTAATTGTATAGATAGGTAATTAAGACTCACACTTGAAAAATCCCCTTAATTTAATCAAGTAAGCTAATGCTGTAGAAACATTAAGTTGTTACAATTTTAATGTTTGACCGTAGCAAAGCAGATGACGTTTTCTGACTCAGGAGTTTTAGTTTAAAAAGCTTTACGGTGTTATTGAAAAGGTCACAAAAACGTAATACAGTAACCACAGACCACGAAAAGAGTACAGCGAGCAACATAAACGCTATTTTATGTTGTTTTTGTTGCTAATGCTCACTGGTCTGAGCTATAGTCAGCCCAAGCCCACGAAAATCCTCGCTACCTTTAATAGAATGTACCACGCGTAATGTAATGTAACTGTGCAGTAATAATTGTAATGTAATTGCACTCCATCCACTGATCAATCTACAACATGCACTGTGTATTATATCACCTCAGCATGTGTCTTCCATACTCCAACATGTGCAAATTTCGTTTAACTGTAACATACAACAGTAATATTTAATTGTACCATATAACAATATTTTGTCCTTGTACCATGCCCTATGTACCATGCCTTATGCTTCGATACAAGTTGCGTACTTGTACTAGGCCATATGTACAATTCACAATATACACTCTTAGTATGCACAATATATGTGTTTTTATTCAACCTTGTTTATTTCAGTTAACATCATCAATCTTCTAAGCATTATTGTCATGAAATGAATCTGTAATATAAGTACCATTCCCTATGTTCCTTTATTTTATACTCCATGCTTATTTGTACCGTAATTGTATACTTATTTAATGATACTGTGCCTTGTGTGTTTTTAAGTGATTTATGTCATGTGATCCTAAGTGTTATGTGCTCGTATATATTAAGTGTTTTATGTTATATGTTTAGGTGTTTAATTTTCTTCTTTTGTTATAACCTATTAATGGGTTTTTTCCCTTTTTTTTTAATCCTTGCCTGTATCAACAAGTTAATTCAAATGTTCAACAGTTGCCCCTGTATGGCCATGTATCCACACTTTTAATTATTAAATAAACTCCAGGGAAGGACGTGGGACATATGCCTGTTAACCTCTGTTAAACTTCAGGCGTCCCTGTCCTCCGTCACCTGTCACCTGACAATGGGCGCAAGTTTACGCCTGTCGTTGGCAACAGCCTTGAGTACCTTACAGGTGACAGTGCGATTTCATTTCCATCCCCAATTTTGATGGAGAGCACCCCGGAGGGGACAGGTCTAACGGTCTCCCACCTCTCCTCCCTTACCATTAATCTCTCGAGAGAACTTTCTGCTCGCCGAATATTTAGAGTGCCCCCATGCCTCACGGACACTATACATTTACAAACATCCATGCCATCTCCGGGTGTCGGCACGGCAGTTAGTGACGCTAACCACTATACCGGTTGCATATTTCACAAATGCACATCTGTGTAGCTACCGAAGGAGTGGCTTCTAGAATGAACCAATGAGCATCCAGTAATATTTCTGTCATGTCACATGACGTTTCGCGTGCTTTAAGATTTAAGCAAAAGGGTTGAAAATATTCTGCCACGCAATTTTCTGTACAAAATAATTAAAGCATCGGCGATTGCTTCTGAAACTTTTCATTGCGAAGTTAGATCAAATGTAGGAAATTATGAAGATTTCACTACCTGGTTGAAATAAATATAAACACATGTTGGATACTTCGCAAAAATATCGAGGTGAAATATTAATTAAGTGGTAAATAAGATGAAGAAAGAAATATGTGATAAACATCTGAGCCCAAATGCAATCTTGACATAAAACTATGCGTATGAGAAAAATATTTACACTAATTATATATGTAAATAGAAGTCAGCACATTTTATTGCAGTCTATGTGAAAAAGATGTTCTATAATAATAACCAATGCAGAATTTTATTCAAAGTGAACTTTACTAATTTGCAATCGAATACATTTAGTGTGTTAAATTTCACATTTAATAATTGCTCACTCTTAAATGTACTGTCTACGCAAGAAATACTCATGAAACAGAGTGAATTTATTGTGTTCACAACGAGCATATTCAAATTATTCACATATAATTTTTAATGTTAACCATGGATATAATCAGATCAGATATATATTCTGAATCTCACCCTTTAAAATCAAAAGAATACAAGCACCGAAATAAGAAATTCATTGTAATACTTTCAGTCATTCTCAGCTCTATTTAGAAAAAAGGAAAAAAAAAAAAAAAAAATACACTTGAGTTCTCTTAATCCACATAATATGCCCAATCCTAACATTAATACATGACAAAAATAGACTACGAGGCCATATAATTTATAACTGCGAAACAAATGCAAATTAAAACGCTCACATGCACGAAGATTTAGCGTCACAAGAGCAATAGCAACTCATTGGTCCATTTTCGAAACTCCTCCCTCAGTAGCTACGCTGATGTGCACTTGTGAAATATGCATACCGGTTCAGCGGCACGGTATTGTGTGTTACTTATTAATTCACTGCTGTGGATTTTTCGAAAGTTTGAGTTTCACTTTCAGCGTAACTCAGCATAAGAGTTTGTAGCTTTCATAACTAATGTTTTTTTTTTTTTTTTCTTTCTTGCAGAGATGTCTTCAACGAATGCATATACTTTGCCTGAACTCGTTGACCTTGCTCTGAGAACGCCAGAAGTGGGAGCGGTCAACTTTAATATCCTGCGCATAGTGCTGCTGTCTCTTATATCAGATACGGGTCTCAGTCAGAGAAAGGTTTACTGGGAGGTACTGTCTGCCAGCGCAATCACCAAGAGCCTCTTTGGCGAAAAAGATAAAATCGAGAGGAAGGCTGGTGCCAAAGGCACGGATAGTCCTACTTGTATGTATGATACTTGCCATTAACCTAAGTCAAGGTTTCTTAAACTTTTTGGTGCGGAGAGTCCATAATATTTACGAAAATTTTGTGGAACCCCGTAAGCATTGCGCAAATCCGCCACACGCGTTAGTGAAACTGTCTGTTTCGTCACTTGTACTGTAGTACGCTATTGCGGTTTTAGGTCATTAACTGTACTGTTAAAGTAAAACGGACGTTTCTGCTATAAAAAAAATTCGATGAAACGTTTTCGTTTTTTCTTCGTCTATTCTAAAATGCATAGGTTTCTAAATTAATTTTTCTGGAAAATTTAATTTTTTAAAAAATGTTTAATTTAATACTAAACTTTTTATTGCTTATTTCTCAAAATACTTCTTTATTAGTATTTTCCTTTAGACCTTTAATTTTAATTGCTAATTACTCTAGGTACCACTTAGTTGGTATTTCGTTTTGGACATTTTTCACTACTTTTGGTTTTGACTTTTATCCTTGCTTGCATGATTGACGAAACACGAATTGAATGATTGAAGAGTTAGGTTTGGAGGCAATTTCCCCTTGATAAGTCTGTCTCCTGCCTGCTCAACAGTCATTCACTTATGCATTTTTGAAAAAAATTGTTTGGATTATTTTAATTTTAATTTGCTAAATTGGTGAATTTATTTTCATGGTTTGGTTTTGCACTTGATTTACTTATGCAATCTGAATTTAAATGATATTGTAAATTAGTTCGAAAATTAATTCTTTTATATGTTTGCACATTATTTTAACTTTAAATTTTGCTTTTTTACGTATATATATTACGGTGAAACACCGAAATCCGGAGAATGTCGACTTTTACCGGTGAATGTCAACAATCACCTAGTCGCTTGGTGTATGTCCGAAATATTTTCCAAATACTCTTATTTCTGATTTACACCGGTCAATGTCGACATTCACCATGCACTAATGGTGAATGTTCAACATATAAGAATATTATATTTTCTTCTTCGTTATTCAGTCTCGAAAAAACGCACTTGAGAGTTAAAATAAGAACTTAAGAACATAAGAACTTAAAACACACGGTACGTTCAAAATGAGAAAAGAAAATAATAGAAGTTAAAAACTTAATTATACAGTACGTTCTAAATGAGAAAATAAAATAATAGTGATAAAAAACTAATTAAATTATGTAATTCAAATCTTATTTATTGCAATAAATTAAGCTATTATGATACTTTATGACCTCTCTTTTGGGCCTACACCAGAACATATCTGTGACTGTCGACATACACCGGTGAGGGTCCGAATATACAAGAATGTAATGCAATATTCGATCTTTTACCGACGTATTTGGTGAATGTTGACATTCTCCGGTGAAAGTCGACATTCTCCAATTTCGGTCTTTCACGGTAACATATACATTTTTGTCTTATCTATATATATTTTCAGATGCATTGTGTAAAAATATTTGGTAATTGTAACATTAATACAGTAAGTTAAAGAAATATCAAAATTGCTAAAATTTTTTGCGATCCCAGCTGCAGGTCCCACTAGCCACACTTTAAGGTGTGGTGTATTTAATTATGGCAAAGCACACTAGGGCTATTTGCCTAAGCGGAGGGATGCCTTTCGTGGAGGACTTTCTAAGGGAAACTGGCTCGTATACACGTTACACATGGGGAAAACCACAACACCACCCATACAGCCAGCCCGTTCGCGGGATTCGAACCTCGGACCGAACTACCAGTGTTCAGCGACTTTACCGCTCGGCCGCTGGTGGGCCCCACAGTTTAAGAAACTCTGATGTAAGTAACTGTGTGTTCTATTTAAGACTTAAAAGATAGCATAGTTCCAGCGGGACTTTTCTTAGTGAAATTAATATGAAATTAATAATAATAATTAATATGAAATTAATAATAATAAATTAATATGAAATTAATAATAATAAATTAATATGAAATTAATAATTAATACGTATTTGTATCTAGAAACGCTAACCAGAAATGATTATATTTCCTAATTTCCGGTGTCGTGATTACCCAGAATTCCAGTTTCAACACAGTTTGCATGTCTCATAAAATCTCTGCTTTATTAGTGTAAGTCTAACTCGTACAACGAAGTGCCAAATAAGTAATATCTACTTTAACTTCCTCTCCTTTAATGGAAACATTGCACTAGTACTTATTCTGAACAGAAGTTTTGTGTCTCCGAAACTAAAGGAAGGAAAAAAAAATTTAACAACGTTTAACATTATTGCTTTACAAAAGATGTTTGCATATTTTTAGAACGATTTTGGAGCCATTTAATTAATATATAAAATCGAAATATGGAAAACATTGGCATGTCATTTCAGAAAAAGTCCTATTTTGTGTCAAAATACCTATATTAAAACGATGCTATATATAAATCTAATATGTATCTTAAGTAGCGCCTCCGAGACATGAGGAACGCAATTTTAATTTGTCAATCGGTCCAATAGAACGTGAACTGCCTTTTGTTTTCGCAATGTACTAAAAAAAATCTATATATTATTGATTCCGATATGCTCAAACCGACTTCCAGTTCGCTAAATCGTGGTAACTCAGGGAAAATTCTGATTTTGCTTGAGTGTATATATATATATATCGAGAGCAAGACAGGAGTGTATATAAAACGATTTTCAATCTAGATAAACATAGCTGGAATTAGAAAACCTTTATCACATCATCTCTTAAGCTTTTTTTCTTTAATTTAGTTCGTGTACCATATAACCTTTGGCATATGGGGAAAGAAGTTTCTTCAGACGTATTCAACAGATTAATTCCCACAGTGTTTTTATACAGCTGAAGATGTCTTTTCTGCAAGATACCTGATTTTCCCGTCGAGTTCCTCGAATTTAATAAATGCGTTTGTACTCTAACGTAGCCACCAATCAAAACCTGGATTTGCTAGAACTAGGCTAAATAAATTTAATAAGATATAAAACGTAAAACTATGTATAGTAATTACATTTACCAAACTTTAAAATGCATTTTGTTTCTACAGCGGAGACCCGCGTCCGTGTTCTTCCTGTTCGAATTCCAATCTCCTCTTTACCTATCACATCTACGACCGGGAGAAAAGTCACTTCTTGTAGGGAAGAGGGGATAGGTTTTCCTGCCTCATTTCAGAGAGTGGCACAAAGTCCTCACTTGAACAAAAATTTATCACCGACCAAAAATCAGAAGCATAGTCAGGGTATTCTTTTTCTGTTCCCCCCCCTTTCTTAGGAAATCAGACGTTACAGTAACTTACATTCAGAGTGTTAAAATTCTGCGTAGCTGGGATATTTTACCTACGTATAGCTGGCACAAAAATAAAAAAGAAACCGAAGAATTCGACTGAAAGGAAATAATAAATGGGATTATAAATTAGGAATGGTATCATAAATTAATTGATAAATAACGACTGCCATTTTAATGTATCTCAGAATTTACGTGCGGACGCGATATTAAACGTCCCCACGTATATTCAAGACACATGGTGAAAGCGCTATTCACGTATTTTCCGGCTATAGGATTAACGGAGTGATGAATAAGTCCTGATTTTTAATAAAATAAGACGTTTCGCTACTTAAATCGTTTATTGAAGTACTGAAATTAGTTTTCCTCGTAATTTACAGAATGTTAATATGAAGATTAAGGCATTAGAAAATTCGGTACTTTGTTATTATAGCGCCCCCCCCAAGAGTGAATCGCTAATCAACCGAGATATGCCCCGAAATCTCGTCACATGCTACATTTTGTTACATTTTGCATTTTTCACATGTACGTAACACGTCGCGTGTTACATTTTTGTACATATTGCCTAGTTGCATGTTACATTTTTGTTCTTGCCATATGTTTTTATATTAGCATGGTGTTTCATTTTTGTTAAGGGTTTCGAATTCGCATTAATATCTTAAAACTACTTCTTGCTTTCTTGTGAATATGCGATTAAGAATTTTTAATTTACCAACTAAAGAGGTGAATGTGATACCATTTTTTTCAAGAGAGAGGTCCTTTACCTGAGAAGTTAGCATGCGAAAATGGCCGCAGTATGAATACTAACGACAAACCATTTGCAGGCGCAATGTCACAAATTGTAAAAGAAAGAAGAGCCTTCGTGTTGGAAATTGATTCAGTGGTTCAAGAATCATTCGATTAGATTCATGTTTTCTTAGGCAGAGGAGCTGATTCCATCAGCTGGTGTGTCAAACAGCTTAATATGTGTGAAAATGCTGCGTTTGATTGGAACAATTACCCGCGAGAATAGTGTTCCATAACAAAGATTCAATAGACGAATGGGCGATTCAATAAAATTGTTGAAACCGATGACAGTTTGTTCTTCCGACTTAAGAACAACAATGGCAGAGTATTTCTACAACAGAAGATCTTTGGGGGAATATGCCACCAATATGGCGAGTGCTTTTGTCATACTTACCTCGGATAGAGATACTAGTACACTTATGGAGACCATGTACAAGATCGATCAACGATCTATTTAGACTGCTGAAAAATTGAACAACTTAAAGAAGCTTGTTGCAGTCACTTTACTGTGAGCCGTAAGTACAGTTTTTTAAATCCAACAACGAGTGTTCACTTCCAAAATGTGTAAAGAATGTGTGTTTAGCCAAGTGAGCATAATAAAAGGCTAGAATCATATCTTTCGGAATTTAATGTGGAATAAGAATGTACGTAGGAAGAATGATGTCTTTTGATGAGTTGTTGAAAGCAGTTTCAGAAATATGGCCTTGTCATAACGATTATTTAAAATATTCTCTGGAAATAATATGCGAGTATTGTTGTTATTATTGTATGTTGAGTTGTTTATTTTTATCTTCGCGCTTCAAGAGTTCGCGAGATGTTTCCGTTAATTAGCGATTCGACCTTGGGGACTGCTATAATATGGAAGTAATGAATGTTCTTGACCAAAACTGTTTTAAACATCTGGCTTATTAAAAATATTTTAAAGCTAAAATATTAATGATTAGTATATGCGTAATATATAATAGTAAGTTCCCTAAAAAAATTAATAAGCTATTACACGCATAGTAATCTTCAAGTTCAGATAAAAGAGAAACTTGCAATGATTTAAAGGAATGACGATTACTTACTTACTAGATGTGCGTTTACTATTAAAATTTTCTGAGTGCCTTTTCTACCCAAAGCCGATGATACGCAAGAAGAGGAAGATGAGCCAGAAGTGACCACCAAGGGAGCTCAAGTGGGCCTCGGTCTCGCTCAATTATTTGAAGCGAAGAAATTATCCAGCAAACTCGAAGCCATCGAAGAAGAGTTGGGAGCGGTACGTAATCCTGCAATTACAGATAATAAATCATTTCATTTATTAATTATTATCGTAATTAACAGGTTTGGACACAGAAATGTGGGAGAGAAAAAAATCCTGGCCCCTACTTCTTTGAATGCGCTAAAACAAAGCGCCAGCGCGTTGTGCTTGAAAAGGGTTAGACAAGCTTCATAGCATTGTTCGATATTGCTCAGAGCAGAACTCATGAGCACCAATTGTGGATTAAGTATGAAATCTAACTCACACATTCAGGGCATTTCTTAGCTGCACTTCTATGATTTCAATAACCTGAGCTCAAGAGATTTCAATAACATTTAATTAAGGCATTGCAGATAATTTAACAATGATTTGGTTTATTAAATTATGGCAAAGCCCACGAGGGTTACATGCCTAAGGAGAGGGATACCTTCGTGGTGACGTTTTAAGGGAAAATACTCGTGTTCACGATTCACATGGGAAAATCCATGAAAACGCCCATCCCGTTCATTGGGACTCGAACCCAAGACTGGACTACCAGTGTTAACCGACTTTACCGCTCGACTGATAGCGGGCCGATAATTTGGCAATGATGAATTCAGTTACTATTGCAAGCCAATAAGTGCAACTTTGAACTTACCCGGACATTGGCATTATTCCACTGACAATATATTGCGTTTTCATATTTAAAGAAAACACTCTTAAAACTCTCTGAAACTCTCTGATGAAAGTAGTGTTATGTATGAAAATTGCAAATTGTCAATTTCTTATCCTTCATATTCTTCACTGCGGGTAATTATGTAAATTGTTTGAAGGTGAATGATTCTGAATATATGCTTTTGAGTGTAGTTTTATGTGTGTGTTTTAATGGTTGAAAATGAGCGCTGTAATAATTTCTTTATACTTACTATTGCATTAGTATGCATTTATGAATGAACCCCCCTGTCGTTCTCGAGGGGGGGCAGTATGTAGAAACTAAAAGGATGGGTGCCAGATGGCTTTGTGCGCCAGAGTTTGTTTTGGAAAACTGGCGCGTTTAAGGTGACGAACAATTTCTAAAGTAAATAAAAATGAAAAATGAGAATCATTACTTGATATATAAAGGTATGGCTTCCCTCTTTGATGCGTATTGTGTTCGTGATATCAATAAAAGTTGGGATTAACCAGCGGGAAAGCTCGTGGGGTGTATCATACCCCAACCCTACATAAAAAGGGAATATTCCTAACTTGTGAAACTGAAATTCTGTTCTGCTTTCAGTAGCTGAGTTTCTAGTTGTGGTTGACTTTCAGAACCGCTTTTTCTTTGCCTGTGTGTTTCAGAAAAAGATTTATCGGTATTTTGTTAAAACTGGGGTATGACACACCTCACGCGCCTGTCCGTGTAAGTGTTTTTCTGACTGAATATTTAGTTCCGAAATTTATTTCTAGAGTGTAACAGTAAATATTTCTACACGCAAGTGATTTTAAAGTACTTCACATTAAATTCTTAAAACTTTCTAACTGCATTATGGTAAAAAGAATGAACTGGAGATGCAACGCATGTGAGATTTATTAGAAATATTTGAAAGCCATGAAGACTGCATTTCGGAAACTGAGGAGGAAACTAAGAATATTTTCTACAATGTTTTGGTTTCGTAAAAGATAAAACATTTATTACTGATGTTCCTAAAAAGGAAAAACTGTTCTTATGCTTTCAATATTATATAACGATCATACTATAGATGATACTATTGAAGAAAATAAAACTTCAGGAATTATATGTTTTAATAATATGACTAAAGGAGCAGTGGATATGGGGGATGAAATGTCAGCCAATTATTCAATTGCCAGAATAACAAGGAGGTGGCCAATGGTAATTTTCTTTCCTGTACTGAATGTTGCTGTAATAAATGCTTGAATTATATTACATTCAACTGCTAATCCACCAACAAGAAACTGAAATCTGTTTTTGAAGGACTTAGCATTACAATTAATGAAACAAAGTAGTGAACAAAGATCAGAGATTAATATTTTTCCAAGAAATTGACGTACTGCATGCAGAACAAAAGCAGAAGTTTCGATGAAGAATTAAAACGAATACATGAAATTCGAAACAACTAAGTATGAAAGATGTATTAAATTTTTTGCCCTCGCGCCAAGGACAGAAGAACGTGAATGCAATGTTTAAAATGTGAAAACATTCTGTGCCAAGAACTCATGAATGTATTTCGTTCAAAGTGTGAAGAAATAAAATAAGCATTGTGTATTAGAGATGCAATGAAACTTAGAGGCATGATGTTTATTATTTTCATTTATCTTAATTTTAACTCTAAGATTATTTCGGAAATTAATTTTTTGAAACCCAATTATTATTCACTTATTTATAATATACGAGAACAAAAAAAAGTTTTAAAACTAAATAATACTATTTTTATTGTATTTTAAATATTGGGGTATGTGATACCCCACGCACCCACTCTAGTAACTTTTCTTGGTGCGACTTCCGCCGGGTTAATGTCTTCGACTGAATCGACCTCTTCTGACGGATGAGCGAAATTTAAATTATTCTATTTACTCGGATACCGAATTCTAAGTTGGTGCTGAACTTGAACTGTATTTCGGTTGCATCAGACGTCATTCAATGCATGGATCCGAATATTCTCTAATGAATGATCTATGTTATGCAAAGTAGCATCAAATACCGACAACAGCCATATGCAATTAAATTTTCATTGCAAATTACATTATGTGTGCCCGTTACCTGAAGCAAGATGTTATTCAATCATCTGCTAAACTGTAAATCTACGTGAAATTCTATCAGTAGTAATTTTATAAGGTACGAAGCACGTGTGTCTGAATTAAAGGATGATATTCCCCACTGTTTTCTATTGATACAAAGGCTTATTACTTCAGATATATGTGAGTCATAATACGACTCTTAATAAAATAGGAAAGCATGCGTATATTTTGCATAAAGCTGTCAAAGAGACCCTGAAGCATAAAAAGATAAAATTGAAATTATTAACTATGTAAAGACAGAATTAATATAACATCTTTATTAAAGTGTTGATTAAGCCCTTACACATTTCCGACTTACAGGAACATATGACGCTTACTCCAGCTCATAAGCCATTTCGGCGCAGAGTAAATAGTTTACCTCCTGCCAGGCTTAGTTTTAATTCTAATTTAGTTAACAGGAAGATGCTAGTTAAAAGTCATAATTATCGAGAAAGATTGGTAAATAATATTTTGTAATAAATGGAAAAAAGAGTACCTTTTAATAATAAAATCTCTTATTGTGTCAATCCAGCAGGTAAAATTACTGAATTTAATGTTAATGATATTGTCTTAATTAACCCTAAGCTGCCTAGGCATTTTTGGAAGTTAGTGAGAGTTTTAGTAATGTCATCACTAATCACTGATAACAAGATATCACCATTAATCACTGGCGACATCCTTTCACTAGTGATTAGTGGCGCTGATTGCCACACCGATTGTCCCGGATTCGAATCACGGAGAAGACATGGATGTTTGAGAATGTATAGTGTTTGTACGGCGCAAAGGGGGCTTTTAAAATACATAGCGAGCTGATCTTCTTACCCTACCAACATTTTATCTTGAAAATCTTCGAGAGAGATTATTGGCAAAGGAAAACGTGTGGCGGATCCTCGTACGCCAATCATGGTATCTTCCGTCAAAATTGGGGTGAAGCTGCACATTTAGTGCGGCGGGACAATACTTGTATTGGCCATTGGTGCATTTCTGGTGCCTAGCCCCCTTCTACCTGTACCTGTATTAAGTACAGTTTTGCCATTCAATTGCTAACCATCTGCCATTCACAGCCATTTTTTCTGGAAGTATAGTGTACCTATGTGCCATTGTACGAAAGCTAGCAGAGGCTGGACTCCGCTGTTGGTGCCCATTGCGATGGAAATCCTAGCCCCCTTCTACCTGTACCTGTATTAAGGGTCTGCTGTACAGATTTTCCGTTCAATTGTTAACCATCTGCCATTCACAGCCTTTTCTTCTGGATGTATAGTGTACCTTGGTGGCATTGTACGAAAACTAGTAGAGGTTGACTCCGCTGTTGGTGCCCATTGCGATGGAAATCCTAGCCCCCTTCTACCTGTACCTGTATTAAGGGTCTGCTGTACAGATTTGCCGTTCAATTGCTAATCATCTGCGATTCACAGTCATTTTTTTCTGGATGTATAGTGTACCGATGTGCCATTGCACGAAAGCTAGCAGAGGCTGGACTCCGCTGTTGGTGCCCATTGCGATGGAAATCTGCCGTTAATTCCTGCATATCGAAACCTAAGCTTATTCTAGTAAAGGCATGGTCAAACTGCGGCTCTCTGATACCTTAACTAAGGCTTGCGAGGTACTTGTGGCCCTTTTCTCTCTGAAATTTGATTCGCTTGCAATAAATAACAATTTTATTTTTTAATTCCATTTTGAAATAGAAATTATGTAACGGCACGTTTCTTCATTAATTACTAATTTAATTTCTTAAATAATATTATTTATATAATAATTTAATCGATTTCGAATTGCCGAGCGCACATCTATCAGAGTAACAAAGAAAACTGCAAGTAAAGGTTAGTGCCTGCTTCAGGAATGGAAGATGGAATCAGAACTTTCTTTAAAAGACGTAACTGTGGTTCGAGCAGAAGTTTTCCAACAAAGTGATTGGCGTCGTCTTCGACGAATTGTACGGCAGATCAGGGTTTCTGCTGTGCTTCGACTGACACAGATCGTCAACCAAGGCTCTTCCCAATAGATTTCAGCTCCAACCATGCGCAGATAATTGCAGAGGATAGGAATGCATAGTCGGGTGCATGTGAGAAAATCACTCATTTCTGTCCGACATGCAAGAATTCTTTGCAGTGGTATCGGGAAAGAAAACGCTGGACCTCTGAGGATGGGGAACGGTTAATGTGGTCGGATGAATCATGCTCACTAGTACGTAATTCCGTGGAACCATGCATCCAATCTCAACCATGCATTCCAATCTCCACGTAATTCCGTGGAATCATGCTGACCTTTTAATCATGCTCACTAGTACGTAATTCCGTGGAATCATGCTCACCAGTGCATGATTCCCGCCAATTTCAACGTCTTCCATCGGTGCGTGATTCCAAGCGTGCGTGGAATCAAGCACTGATGGAAGACGTTGAAGTTGGCGAGAACCCCCATGAAGCCATCTTGGCTTACTCGCACTGGGCAAGTGTCTGATGGGAGTATCATGATATGAGGCATGTTCTGCTGGCATGGAAGTGGTGCCCTGGTATTCCTTGAGGGTAAACAAACAGTCATGAAATATCTAAATATACTGGCAGATCAAGTGCACCCTGCTATGTTGCATTTTTACTCTGATGGGCGACGGATATGCCATGGACGATAATGCAACTGTACATCGTGCCAGAAGTTTCAAAATTGGTTCGCCAAACATCGATCTGACTTCCAACATATTCCCTAGCCATCGCATCGGCCGGATCTTAACCCCATAGAAAATGTATGCGATATTGTGAAAACACGCATACGATAGTATTCTCCTCTTTCATATAATTTACAATATCTAAAACAGCTGCGCTGCGTAGCCAATTCATGGTACTCTCTGGACGTAAATGCACTCCAGAAGCATGTGGACTCGATGCCCAAATGAATGATAGCAGTTCAGTTACCCGTGCAAAAGGTGGTGCAATAAAATATTGATCTTGGATTTCTAATTCGTTGGCCAATGTGAATATAACTTAAGTAGCCTTTGCGATACTTTGGCATGCTTTTCAAAGTATAAATCCCGTAATTAAAAAAAACTTCGATACTTTCAGAGAAAGATTCTACATATCTGAAATTCCAATATTTGCATATTATCGTAAAATTTATCATGTGCATCATTATCGTAAAATTTATCCATGCAACTGGCAGGATCCGTTTCCAGCTCCTGGTACGATTCTCATTGTCTGCACCGAACATTATTGCACTGCATACAAGTATACCTAAACAGCTATGCAGTGTAGAAGACTACAAGTGTTTGTTGCTAATTTTAAATGCATACCAGAATTGTTTCAAAAGACTGAAATTTGCTTAAAAATTTCAATTAAAATGTTCTACATTTCGTAAATAAATAAACATATATTTCTGAAGATGGAAAAATTATTTTTTAATGTATGGTGTTTGAACATACTTTTTCCTTTCCACAGCAATATTTTGTAAAGGTAATTTGTGTCAAATCACCTAAATTTATATGTTTACTCTTTTGAGATTATGATACTTTTAAAGCTTTGATAGCTGTAAAGTCTTAAAAATACCTTTTTCTCAGAAGTTTGTTAGGTTTATTTGGTTCCTAATCAGAGGTTTCAGAGCAAGGTTTTGCCGCCATTTTTCTCAAAATATATTCGTTTGATCTCATCACATGATTTTAACCGGTTCCATAATTATTATTTCATTGTATGTTGAATTATCATCTTGTTTAACGCGGTATATTTCATGAAATTAACAATGGAAGATTCATTACACTGTATAAATATTATTTTTTAATTAATTTTTGTTTACTTGAATATAATCTTTTTATTCATTTCTCAAATCTCATTAAGGTATACATTCTGTATAACTCTTTTCTAACTATGATCACATCATTTTAAAATACAGTAAAAGAATTATGATAGTGTTCCATGGAAGTCATATTGTTCATAAAAAGTTCTTATAATACGTTATTTTTAATTACCAAATAATAACTCTGTTTAGCTTGTAAATAAGATGTGTAACTCCTTTTAGTATGTAAATAAGATTAGCTTGTAAATAGTTTTGAAATCTCCCTGGGTAAACCTTAAAAATTCCAAGTCTTTTATTTTGATAATAAATAGAAAATTTTAATTTAAAAAAAAAAAAAATCTTCTTTCTTAATTTCTATTCTTCTTCTTACTGCCAGTTTTAGATTAATTCATAATGAAATTTTATGTAAATTTATCAAATTATGTAGAATGCGTTCTCTCTTTGCAGCTGGTAGATGCTGTGGATGAACTAAGAGTAAAGATAACGGAAACAACCAAGAAAGTGAAATACGAAGAAGGCCAGAAAGTAAGTTCTGATATTCAAACACAAATTTTCATTTTATCAAATAGCATATTATTATTTACTTCCGAGAAAATACGAGAATCCTATAGAGCTCCGAGACCTTTGGATAACAAAATTATTTTCAAGTGTTGTAAAACATAATTTTACTTCAAGTAACGCATATTATATAACATACAAGGGTCTCCATTTTTCAGTGTACACAACAGGCATTGGGGACTCGGTACCTTTTGAATGATTTTTTTTATTTAAGCACTTTCATCTACTTTTTCTGAATAATATTAAGTGGTTTTATGAGACAAAACATTTCAAGGTTGATAAAAAAAATGTTTGCTATTAATTTTTGTTAATTTAATTTTTTTTAAAAATTAACAATGGAAACTTTTTCTTTTCCCCATTTCAATATTTTTGCTTCAAATATTTTTATTGTATTCATAAAGTTTCTTAACTTAACGGATCGATTTTTCAATTAATGAATTAGGTTCTGAGAAAAAAATAAAACGCACATTTTTATATAAAAATTTAAAATATTGATTTCAGTAACATTTTTACTTCCAATAATTTTTCTTTTCATATTTTTCAAAATCCCATCCTTGATTCTATTAGTATAATTTTAAATAAGCAGTAAATTTATTAAATAATTTGGTCCATATCGGAACAAGTTTTTAGGACTTTAAGTAAGAGGATATATTAAAAATTGCAAATGAGAAAATCGCAGTTTAAGAATGTAAACTGTCTAGACGGTCATTTCATGTTCAATTTCTTAAAATTTTATTACGATTCAATAATATATATATTTATATTAAAAAATAGTACTGGCTGAATTTAATAGAATATAAATTACAAGCTTTTGTTAAACCTTATCTGGCTAAAAATTGCAAAATTCATAAAAATGCAAGTAGAATTTCCTTTACCTTTGTTGTTTTTAAAACAGCTCAAACAAATTTAATGCATTAAGTATTAAATATATTTTCTAAAACGCTTAATCATTATTAATAAATTAATTTGTCGTTTTATTCATTTTAAAAGCAAAATTTGAAATTTAACGGCATAAAACTTTTATTAAACCACTCAGCAGCTTATGTGATTTTCTTCTCTTATTTAGCCATTTGTTCTCGTATAGAAATTCCTTTTAAATTATTATGTGCATTTTAATTAATAAAAAGTTTTAATGTTGTTCCAACACTATTTCAATAATGCTACGGTCAGAAATTTGATCACTTTCATTACACCACCTCTTTCTGTTCGTATCTAATCACAGATTTTCAACTTTTGAATAAACATAGCATTTTGTTGCTGATAATACATATAAATTATTTCTGAGCTCAGTATAAAATATATATACTTGCCAGTTTAAAGGTGAAAAAAATTTTTTTCCCACTTTAATGTATTTAAATAAATCAGTATATACGCATAAATAGAGTTTTTTGATAGTCATATTAATTACACTCCTTTCATTTACACTGATTTTTTAAGGTTACTGAACAATTAAGAAGAAAAAAAAAATAAACTGAAGGGTGGCATTTAAAGGGGTGTCAAAATTTTAAAAACCTTTTTTGCATTATTATCGTCAGGAGTTCATGTAATGGTACTTGTACCGAGTCCTTAAATAAGAATTTGTTCAACTGAATCGGTACCTTTTATTTTTGACAACCGAAGTACCTAAAATAATTTTAAAACATTTTTCTAAAATAAGTTAAAAAAGCTACTTAAACTGATGTATTTTTGGTAGGGGGGGGGGGGGGGGGGGGGGGGGGGGGGGGGGGGGGGGGGGGGCGGGGGGGGGGGGGGGGGGGGGGGGGGGGGGGGGGATTTAAATTGAAAAACTGATGTAATTTAGATTCCTTAGCGTGGAGCTTTCCTTCAGTATCGATGAATTTCATCCGAATTTTAACGGCTTCCGATTTGTCAGTGATTTTCTTTCAATTTTTAACAAATTTATTGCAGTCTTCAACAATTTTTCTTTGCAACAACGCTATTCCAGTAACAGTTCTTCCAATTTCTCATGATATATTTTTATGCTTTAATTTCATAAACATGGAATTTAGAAATATTCATAACTCAACTTCGCAGCTAAAGGTTACGAAAAGGCTTTGCATTGTTTCCTAAACGAGCATTTATCCCAGATTTTCCTCTTGCTTTTATTGTGACATCTCTTCGTTCTTTAATTGGACAGGTTTGCCTTAAGCTCGTCTCATTCACATTAGACTCAGATATTTTTCAGTGTACTTCCGTGACTTTGAGCAACTTATGGACCGAGAACATTTAAACGCCTGCTGCATTCGATAGTTTTAATTCTTAAAGAGTTTTTGGGAGGAAAAACGACTAATTGCTTAGATGCCAAAAGCATTTGTTACATAAATAAATAATATTTGAAATCAAGTTTTTAGGTGGATATCAAACTTTCAAAATATTTAGTAAGATCAGGAATCGACATTCCATGAATTTTTGCCAGTTGTTTCTCAAACTTATCTTTACTATATCCAAAACTAACACTTTTTTATTCACTTCAAACAATTCTAAGTACCAACTAACTGAATCTGTTACAGTTTAAAGACCAAAAACGTATGATAAAGAGAACAGCGAAAGGTTGTATGTGTCATAAATAGCAGTGATGAAAGTAATCTTAAACTTCTATAATCCAAAACTGAATACCAAAATTTCCCCAAATATTTAGAATCTCGTGGATCCTTCATATAACAAAAACGAGACGAAAAATGCGAAAAACATTTGTTGTATTTATTTAAGTAAAATGTCTTCATTAAAGTAAATTTTAATATTTTTATTGAATGAAAAAATAAATCGGGTAATAATTTATTTTAAAATACAGCTATATTTATTAAGAACTAGCCAAAGTACCCGATGGCAGTTACGTTAGATTGAGAGTAATACTCCTAAAAAACTAATCCTCTCTCTTTATATCAGCAATAATGGCACGCCGTTTTTAATTATTTTCATCTTTCTAATCAATTGGTCGTAAAAGCTCAAGTACCATCGAATATTTCACTTATATATTTAAAATGTACCAAAAAATGTAGTCGAAAAAATGTACCAAAAAATTTATCATAATTAATCATAAATCAATAACGCGAACAAGTAAACAAACGCACAAACAGACATTCTTCCTTATATACATATAGATATTCAAAACTTGAAAATTTTTGATTAACAAACTCTACGATTTGAAAACGAGTAGTAGCAACACTTTTCGGAATAAAGCATTTTTATCTCCAACGCGCGAGACTGTTGCCACTCGGAAAAATGAGTGCGAAAATTAACCTTTTCGAAGTTTTTATTTAATATCTCGGCTGATTCAAGCTGTACGCAATCGAAATGGATTCCCACGAATTTTTGAAATCGGGAATAATGTACTTGATGTTTGGCAATGCTATTTTTATTTCATCGTAAAACTTAGAAATGTTTTATGAACAATTTTTAGGATTTGAGCGAGCAGTGGCAACAACTTTCGAAATATAGCAGATTTTCATTTCCAGCTTGCGAGACTGTTGCCACTCGTTCAAAATTAGGGCGAAAATTATCGTTTTCCGAGTTTTTAATTAATATCTCTGATTTTAGCTACTTGTTTTGAAAAAAGTGGACGTCGACCTTTTGCAGAACCCAGAAAAGAATAGTAGAAAGTTTGGCGACGATAGCTATAGTAGTGATTGAGTTTTTAGAGGAAACAAACATTCTTCTTTATGTATATAGATAGATATAAAAAGCAAATTAATAAAGTACATGATTAAAACCCTGGATATTTTAACCTGATTTAAATTTTGATATTAAATCGATTTTTATTATTTTAAAATGTTATTCGTAATATATATAGTTAAAAGTTCACTATTTTACATTTTTCTGGTATCCTTTTAGTTCATAGGAACCGCGGAGATGGGCGATTATTCCTAGTTAAGTACTATACATGGAATGCTGTATTTTTTGTAGACTATTAAAGAAAGCAACAAAATCCTTGTTTATTTTAACATTTTCGTAAAATTACTAAACATATAATTTTTCGGACATTTTAAGAAAGGAAGTTTTAATGGAAGGTCTTTGATGGATGTTTTTGTTTTAGAAATCTGACATTTGAATTCAACTAGGTAAAAATTTCTTCATGTTTTATCAGCTACTATGCCCTGTAAGAAAATTAGTTTTTCTTAGATTAGTGTTGAGAATGGTGGGAATAAACAACACTTTCTAATAGCATCATGCTTTTATAGGCTATTTTTTGAAAAATTTTATAATTAGCTTTTAGTTTAGAATTTTAAAGATTTGAATGAGGAAAAAATCGCGAAGACGAATCTCGAATTTTTTCCCAAGATTCAAAGAATGGAACATCTCATTTCCAAGAAATAGGGTATAACTAAATTAGTAACTTAGATGAATGTTAAAAAAATCTGATGTGTACACCACATGACTTCCTTGTGCGGAATATTAAATTATACGCATTTTTTCTTGCATTTTATTTAAACTTATTAGATTGAATTAAACCTACTTCGCCGACAGCGCATAAACCACAATAGAATAAATGCATTCTTTAAAATTCACTTTTTTTACCATAGCGACACTCTGGCGCTAGGTTTACTTAACAGTATTATATTTCGTTCATATTATAACTCTGAATGCACAAAATATATATTATTTAAAGAATTATCTAATCCTTGCCACATGTTCTATTCACATACTATAATAAAGCTAGAACTATGTATAAAAGAAATTAAGCAAACAAAACAAAACAGAACAGTTTTTCACAGACGATTGAATATTTCTCATTCAATTAATTCAGGTCTGACTTCGCGAGAAGGCAAAAATACATAAAAGCTCAAAATATCTATATTAAAAATTACGAAGTAAATCTTAAACGCTTATTTCCCCGAAAAAATTCCAGAAAGCATTAAGCATGATTTAATCGGCAATAATAAATGAATGCGTTATCTTTGTCGTTGCGAAGCTAAGTTTCTTTAGATTGGCAAGAAATCCACTAGTCTCCTGTTTCAAATGTAAACATCAATGGCCGCCATTAAAAACAGGCTTAGCGGCAATTAAACAACTTTAAAATAGCTGATAATTCTAAAAATATTGCACACAGATTTACTAAAGGCATAAAATCCTGAACCGGAAGATAAAAACAATATAATTCAATCATTTTTAAAGAAAAAAATTCTACAATTTACAAACATATAAGAGTAAAGAAACTGAGATCACTGAGCCGGGTAAAAGTGTGGATATATATATAAATATATTTATATACGTTTGGTGCGGCCGATTGCAACCAAAATACGAGGTGCACATCTACATGTTATAGCAGTCCTATATGCAAAATTTCAACGTTCTGAGGCTACTCGTTTTTGAGTTATGCGAGATACGTGCGTACGCACGAACGAACGTACGTGCGTACAGACAGATGCCGTTCGTACAGACGCCACGAAAAATTCTCTTCAGAATTAATTTTAAAGTAGTTTTATAATTTTTTTTGAAGGAAAGAGAGTATTTTATTCCTGTCCTTTACAGATATCCAAGCAAAAACATCGTTAAATTGCATTCGATAGGGGTCAAAATGGATATTTTCGTTGAAATATGCTGCCTGAAACTTTTCACGATTACAATACTTATTTTTTACTTCGTGCAAGGAAGTAAAAAGTAATTTAATGTTATGTAACCTGTTTCCTTTTTAAATTCTTTTAAAATATTTTGTATCTATTATAAGAACATGAATTTAATGTTGTGCGTTAAATGTATTAAATGCAAGAGATTTTCCTTTTATATACTACACTCCCATATTTCGCTTTGAAATCTTTATAAACTTTGTAAATTTTGAAATTATATTTAATCATTTATATTCCTTTTCAGTTTGCTTAGTTACTTTTGCTTGAGGATTTTCTTAAATGATGTAATATTACGCATTTACGCGAGAGTAAATTATTTTAGGCAAGCTGCTGAATGAATGATAGTTTCAGATGTATTTTCTTTCATTAGTATCCTCAGATTTACGTCTCATTTGCATTCAAATAAATTTTTTTTTTTTTTTTTTTTTTTTTTTCCAGAGAATTCGAAGAGAGGAAGCGGGAGACTTGGATCGAGATGAATTCGAAGATGCTCTGGAAGAAATAGGAGAAGCAATCGGACGCCTTGCCATAAAATTCCAGGAACAAGTAAGTATCTTACCTCAGAATATACTGCGAAGGTCAACAACAGTTGGTTATTTTGTAGTAATTTAGGAAAGCTCTAGTCTGGGATGACCAAATATTCATTTTTGGCAATAGCCACAGAAAATACAATTATTTTCCTTGATTTAAGACGGCAATATAATTAGGTAAATGCCGGAATTTAAGTATATTAGAATCATTTTTCTTAACATTAATAGTTGTTATTTGTATTACGTCACGTTACAGTTGCTGTACATATTATCTTAATGTTTTAAAGTAACAATGAAGTGTATTATATTGTAGAGTCAGCAAGCTATTTTGAAGCAGAAGTACATAAAAAAATGATGAATGCCCTCGCTGGAACTCGAACTTGGACCTCTCGAATACGCTCCGCGTCTGCTACCGTTACACCACGACGGCATGCTGGAAGGAGAAAGAAAATACCGTGTAGTATTGTTACGAAATGTAAAGGCGCGGTGAGATGGCTTCCCCACAATGCATTTTAAGGGTTGCCATAAAATGGCAAAAGAAGGCAGGGTTGCCATATTTGGCGAGGAATCGTCCATTTGGCGACATTTGGCGACAAAATTGGCGATCCCCCATGGACGGATGGAGAACCTTCTGGAACGAATTCTTACCGGTTTAGCCCAGAATGTTCTCGAATACAAGCCGATAGCTATATAAACTCTGCTGGTCCGCAGTCAGTTAGTGTGTGTGCTTCGTAGACTGTCTCATCTAGTTAGTCCGTGCAGAGAAGATCGAGTTGACAGCCGACCAGCGAGTGCCGAGTGGTTCGTCGAGTCCACTGAAGGAGTCTGTTAATGTATCACGGTTAGTGCATCGTCGAGACAGCGTGTTGAGCTCCTGGAACGACTGAACCGAAGAGTCGGGAGCTGTGCTCGTGTGTCGTCGAGTGTATCGCGAGTTGTAGCGTGGAGAGTCTCGAGAGTACGTGGAGTTCCGAGAACGACCCAAAAGAGTCGGGAGCTGTACTCCGGAAAGCAGAGTCGGGTGCTTTGCAGGAAGCTGTCTCCGTCGTGATAGCCTGATAACCTGAAGGCTGTGTCGCTGATGGTTCCAGCGTGTTTATAGTAGATCTTCGACGACTGTAAAAAGTGTTATTGGAGCTGTCCTGATTAATATTGGCTAAATAAAGTATGTTTCGATATTTCATCAAGTGTCGTCGTTATTCCCTCCAAATCTACGAACCCCGTACGAACGTGAGGAGAAAATCAACCCGAACCTGAAGGAAGATCTTCATCCTGTAGTTGGCGCCGACTGATAGATGAATATAAAAAAGAATCTCATTGCCCTAACCATTTAGAAGAATTCAGAAGCAAACAATCAAAAATGATGAATGCCACAGGTGGAAGAAAAGCTCGCCGAGGCTTTAAAGATCAGTTGAATTTAACGACGCTTAAACTTTTTAAGTTTACCGGCGCGGCTATTGGGCTTAAGCGTATTGTGATCTTTCGTTTTATTTTTACTGAAGCCTTAAACTTGTTTTAAAAACCATTGCCGCTACGGGAGAAGAATCAGCGCCGAAAAAAAAAAACAAAAAAAAAAAAAAAAAAAAAAAAAAAAAAAAAAAAAAAAAAAAAAAAAAAAAAAATTCTGCTGCAATCCTGGAATGAGAACGCCAAAAAAGACAGAAAAAAACTGAAAAAAAAAAAAAAAAAAAAATAATAAACATTGAGGATTCCCCCCCCCCCAAAAAAAAAATATAAGACTCTGAACATTGAAGGACTTTCAGGGGAACAGATTGAAAAACAGGAATGGAATTAAAATCTTTAGATGACATTCATAGACTGGTTAAGCTTTCAAATAAATGTAACTAAATATCAGGAAGATTGTTTCAGATATTTTTAGCGGCAACCTTCTGCTAATTTATTTACTATTTTACTTAACTGTTAATTTTATTTTGAAGCAACCTTTCCTGTTGCTCTTGGTTTCAACTCACACATTCTTCCCAGAATGTAAACGAGTTAGCGCGCGTGTATTCAAATGAGGTAGAAAGCAGTTAGCATTCAAGGGAAGGTTATGGAAGATGAATTTAGAGCCCGTTCTGCCTGTCTGAAGGCCCGGTTGCTATCTTTGATTAATTATTGATTAGACTTCTGTGGCGTTGATCGCTTCTAGCCATGAGGCTTGTTCATGCCGACTTTTACGAGTCAGAGCCAGCCTGTGTGTTAAGTAACCTGTGAAGCTGTTTAAGTTAATTGTTACCTTTTTGAGTTCAGATAAAAGTGTTGGCTTTTGTAAATAACAGTCGGTGTCATCTGTGAACTTTAACTTGAGTGAATAAAGGGTTTTTATAGCTTTATCCTGACTTAACCTTATTACCTTAAGACTTGTGGATAATTCCTTAAACTATCTTCTAACATCTAGTTAGTTTATGCTAGCAACGTATACGAGACGTTATAACGCGATTAGGGATGAACACCTTTCAGCTACTGAAGAATATTTTAAAGGGAACGCGAAACGTTTTAAAGATCTTTCTATTACGATGTCTGTTACGTTATTGTGATAGGAATGTCAAACGTTTACCAATGACTGAAGCCTTAAACTACCGTTTTAAAAATAAATTTAAATCGGTACTTTTCCGTTCCGCCGGCGCCAATCTCGCCAAGCAGACTTTGTTGGCGACAACATATACCGTATACACATAAAAAATGTTAACAAATGTTAGTTTTAAGAATTTTTTATTTTGGAAACATAAACTTTTTAATATGGTTTAAAATTTTGTAAAAAACCAATAAATAAAGGCAATAAATTTGTAAAAAGGCATTGATTTAAGAATTTACTATGCTATCAGGGTTCAACATCCTGATTCGTCGGTTCGTATCACATGACCCCAAGTGATCTGATCTCAGGTAAACTACGCTACAAAAATCTAATTCTCTCAGTAATTATCTGCGTTAATTTCAAGTTAATTTCTTAATTTGGAATACAAGTTTATATGCAAGAATTATTTCAATTCGTACGTATAGCTTACTCAGAAATTATGTAAAACCGCAGTGCTTTACTTCGCTAGTGAATTCTCATTAGAATTGAGGAATTTAACCCTTGATTTTGCCTTTTCTATATTTTCGCCTTCGGGGGAGCGGTGTGATTGCATCCTAATGGACTTATTTACCGCGAATGGTCTTAGGCATAAAATTTAATTATCTTTGTAAATATTCTATGTAATTGTATGCCAGTATTGGAAAAAAACAATCAATCTGGTAAGAAATGGCTGCAACTTGTTTTGAAAATGAGGCGTAAAAGGTTACCAACGAGTATATTCCGTTTGGCATCAGTTGTACCATTATTGGCGACTTTATCACTTGCGCCAGCAAAATAGAAAAGTACCTTTAAATTAAAGCCAGTTGCGGGAAAGTTTTGTAGCTGACAGCTGAAAACAATCAAATAACAAGATTTTTATCTCCCTTTTAACGTAAGATATTTTTAAAAGATAAAAATGGATATTTTTTGAAAAGTTTCACACATTATAAAATATTCCCAGCACCTGCTGTAAACAACTGTTTTTCTGAGAAAGACAAAATAATGAGAACAACAACCAAAAACGTATATTAAACGAAACTTTTAAAATATCTAACATATTCGACATATTCACCTAATATATTTTAGAATAACCAAAAACATGAAACATAATGAAATATAATTAAAATAAGCAGACACATTTAAAAAAGCGTTTTTCTTAAATGTAAAAGTATTTTATATATATATATATTATATATAATCCTATAATATCCTCGTATTTTAAAGCATTATTATATATTCCTCTAGAAAACTGCAAACATGCTTTATATCTAAGCCACTGAAACTGCTAATGAAACGCTTCAAAAATAACCCATTCTTTTAGTATACGATAAATGTTAGTGTGCCCACTCCACCATTTATCTTCCTTACTCATTACCATCACTTAACTACTTCAAAAAATAAAACAATTAATCAACCATCGTGAATAAGTTTATAAAATGCAGTTTTCACTACATTCATCATTCCACTTTCATGAATAACTCTTAAGTGAATGTTTAACGTTGTAAAATATAACTTTACCTTCCGACTGAAAAATCTGAAAATTAATGACAAAGTCCTTCAGATAAGCGCACTTATTCTCAGGGAATGTGCAAATCCTCGAGTATATTTTATTTTCAACTTCACTCTGAGATTTTAAAACTGAATAAATGTAACCAGAACGTTCTGATTCTAGACTCATTTTTTAATTCCTTGTACTAAGTAAGCGAAGTATTGTCTTCACGAAAAATTCCGGATGTCATATTTTAAGAATAATATCCATTTTGACCGCCATCGTATGCAGTTTAATGATATTTTCCGGTGACATCTGTACGTAAAGACAGAATAAAGGACTTTCTTCCCAAAACAAATTGTAAAAAGGATTTAAAATAGATTCAGAAGATATGTTTTCGTGTTGTCTGTACGTAAATACGTACGTATGTATGTATCTCGCATAACTCAAAACGGAGTAGCTTCAGAACGTTGAAATTTTCTTGCTTTAAAAATGATTGAATTATGTTGTTCTTATCTTCCGGTTAAGAGTTTTATACCTTTATTTAATCTGAATGCAATAATTGTAGAATTATCAACAATTTAAACGTAGTTTTAGCGCGGCTGAGCCTAATTTTTGGTAAGTATAGAAGCCATATTTGTTTACATTTGAAACTTAGCAAAATACTGAAATAAGTCTTTCTGCACCTTCATCAGTGTCTTTTTGCTGAATGGGACGTAAAGTGAATTTTGAATGTTGTGCACCGAAGAATCTGCCTTCTTGCCCGTAGGCCGAATTACTTGTTTTTGCTTAGAATCTCTAATTTTAATTGTAAATTTTGTAGATTTTACTTCCTTGTACGAAGTAAAAAGGAAGTATTGTAATCGCGAAAAGATTCAGGCAGCATATTTCAACGAAAATATCCATTTTGACCGCTATCGAATGCAATTTAACGATGTTTTTGCGTGATATCTGTTCGTAAAGAAAGAATAAAATACTCTTTTCCTCCAAAAAAATTATAAAGCTGATTTAAAATTAATTCTGAAGAGAATTTTTCGTGGCGTCTGTACGAACGTATGTACGTACGTGCGTATGTACGTACGTACGTACGTACGTATGCGAGAAACTCAAAAACGAGTAGCCTCAGGACGTTAAAATTTTGTATGTATTACTTCTATAACATGTAGATGTGCACCTCGTGTTTTGGTTTCAAACGACCGCACCAAACGTATATAAATATATTTATATATATATTCACTCTGTTACCCGGCTCAGTGATCTCAGTTTCTTTACTCGTATATGTTTGTAAATTGTGCATTTTTTGCTTTAAAATTATTCAGTTATGTGGTTTTTATCTTCTGGTTAAGGGTTTTATGCCTTTAGTAAATTTGTACGCAATATTTTTAGAATTATCAACAATTTTAAAGTTGTTTAAGTGCCGCTAAGCCTTTTTTTTATGGCGGTATTGATTGTTTACATTTGAAACAGCAGACTAGTGGATTTGTTGCCAAGCAAGAGAAACTTAGCTTCGCAACCACAAAGATAACGCCTTCATTTGTTGCCAATTAAGTCATGCTTAATCCTTTCTGGAATTTTTTCGAGGAAATAAGTGTTTAAGATTTACTTCGTAATTTTTAATTTAGATATTTTGAGTTTTTATGTATTTTTGCCTTCTCGCGAATGAGAACTGAATTGTTTGAATGGGAAATCTATCTTTAATGAAATTCGATAAAATAAGTTTAAATGAAATTCAGGAAAAATGTGTATAATTTAATATTCCGTACAAGGAGCTCATGTGGTGTACACATCAGATTTTCTATATCAATGAATAACGACTAAAAGAATTGATTAATTTTTAATTTCAAAGCATTTTCGAAAAGAGGAGCCGTTCGTGAACAGCACTCATAAATGAAGAGAATCAACCTTAAAAAACCGGCTACCGCAGATATTTAATAAATCAACGCCTCTTTATACTATAATAGTATTGAAATTTACAGTTTTTCCTTCTTTATTACGAATCGGCTCTTTCTCCTTTTTTAAAGACACGTACAAAAACTTTTAACACCACCTTCCTTGCGACCAAATGGTAATTTTTCCACGCATTCACAAAAGAGAAATGCGACATATTTCTTTTATTTCAATAGAATGCAAATGGTAATTTAAGCTGTTTTATTAAAGTAAAGTAGAATTTGAATGCCGTAGTTCATAACAACAGAACTTCTCCTAACACTTCGAAAACCAACCTTTGAATTCTCTGACAATATGCAAATTAATTTCGATTAAGTTGCAAATTTCCAGATCCTTACAAAGAGATTTAATATTTACTCAAGGTGTAGGTGTGTTTGCTACAGACAGCGGCATCCATTCAAATGCCTTGAAAGTGATGGAAATGCTCCCTTCTGTTGTACGTACTCGCTGCTGGAGTGAGTTGTCACTAGCGAATGTATTAATCTAAATGAAAATAAATGCGACAGCTTTGTTTATTATCATGGTAATTTTTATGTCCTTTACTGGAACGCAACTTTGAATGATTTAAAATGCTATATTAACATTTGCAATGAATTTTTTTTTTTTTTTTTTTTTTTTTTGTACGCTATCAGTTCAGGTATTTGTTCTGTGTTGAATCACTGAAGATTTCTCTCAGTCCGTACTTGTCCGTTTTATTTAAACTTTGGCGAGACGCAGGGCTAGTTTACCTAAATGTGTAAACGAATTTGTACGCGAATTCAATGTATTCATTATGCCACTAATGATATTAATTATGTGATAATGCTGCTGTGTATCCGTATATCTCTTCGTGAAATGAACTGGAACTACCTTGACACACCACTAACTGAAATAAATTCTTAAAAAGTCTGTGTCTCTTTCGGAACATAATTTTTTAAAAACACTTGTAGAGTAATTAGGAATTTTTGGAAGCCAGTGAGATGAAAAATTAGCAACCGCCTTCGCCGGGAATCGAACCACGGACCTCTGGAATACCGGCCCAGTGTGCTGAACCACTACACCACGAAGGACGCTAGGAAAGTAGGGGAAATACCTTATATACTCCCCTTTTTAAAGGGCGACTGGGGTTTTAGGGGACCTAGTCGCCAAATCTTGGGTGTGGAGAATCATCATCCGCAACCTTTTTAGGGGCGCCACTATAGAGTCATTAGGTTAATTGGAAGCAGAAAAAATGAAAAATATGCAACCGCCTTCGCCGGGAATCGAACCACGGACCTATGGAATACCGGCCCAGCGTGCTACCGTTACACCACGAAGGCACGCTAGGGAACTGGGAGAAATATCTTATACACTTTAGAGAGATCAGAAGAAGGATATATAAGACCCTTTTATTCGAACATAAAATTAACAAATGACCCAACTTGGGTTACAGGAAGCCAACACTTCTGAGTTAACAGAAATACGTGACGAATAATAATTTCAAGGTGTGGTAATTCTGTGGCCTAACGGCTCACAGAATACTTTAACGCGTAGGAAAGGCTCTGGTTTGTTGTGAACCGGCGAGACATGCCTAATGTCGAGAACGCTAACGCAAGTCGCGAATAATCACAGCACAACGTTGCCCGGGATAGGCAGACACGCTCTAAAAATAGCTTCAGAAACTGTTACTTAAATAGACCTACATTCTATCTTAATCTGAATAAACTCTCGCTATCTCATTTACATTCTGGCATGAAAAGTGTGGGTGAAAAGAGAGTAACAGGAAAGTGAAATTTGAAATGAGCTGTTAGTTAAAATAAATAGATAAACCTCTTAATCACTAGACGATACCCTTTAACATGTAAGATTTCAAATACAGTTCTGAAGTGTCTTCCTGTGTGAAAATTAATGCACCATAAAATATCCAGAGAGTTTGATATTTTATTGACTAACTACCCTCTACGCGGCCAGCCTTCGTCTGGATTTTAAATGTACCGGAAAAATGCCTGAAGGGAACACCAGACATTAAAATTAAAAACTGCACAGAATATTACTTTGCAGAATATTAGATATATAAAAAAGTGACAATGAAATCTGCCAATCTCTTAAAAACAGTGACATAAGAAATACGATGAAAAAAAATTGTTGCCAAACCCATATTTCTAAAAGAATGAAACTATTCAAAATGATGCGATTTCATCAAAAATCTATCAATAACAATAAGACAAGAAAATTGTTGCCAAAATCACATTTTAAAGAGATGAGATGTGAGGAGTGTACTCATTTAAAGCTTCATTTAAAAATGTTTTTAATTAAATACAAAATTCCAAATTTTATCATTTTTCCAAAATTATCTTTTGTAAAAGCAGTCGCAAGGAGATGAAAGTTTAACGTGTCCAAAAATTCAAAGAAAAATAAACTTTACATTTTTAAAAATAGACCTTTTTTAGGAAACAAATCCCCTTGAAAAAAGTGTTAAGCTCACTTTGTTAAATAAATTCGTATTTAATCGATTTATTGGAGCACGAAATTTATTTTAAGTTCGTAAAATAGCTAAGTGCCTACGTTTCCTGACAATGTGAAAATGGAGTGTGTAGAGTAAAATCTCGCTTTCCTATAGCCCATTATGTCTCAAAATGACGCGATTTCGTCACAAAACATACAATTAAAAAATTCGAATTCGAATTTAGAAAATATCGCTTCGAGGTGCACTGGCTCTTTTCTAGATGCACCTATGTACCAAATTTCGTAGCCGTGGGTCTATTAGCATACGCGCAGCGCGAACGAAAGACACACTGACGCACACACAGACAGACTCTTTCTTTTATTATATGTAGAAATAACTCACCAGCAGTATTATTATCAGAAAATCTTTATTATCAGAAAATGAATATCTTCATACACATGGATAGGCAATAATTATTTGTTTCATCTGGATGCAAATATTTCTACCAAAAAAAATTTCCAGTGACGAAAAATTAATAAATAAATGAATAATTAGTACTCTTGTAAGTTTTTTTGTTTCTTTCAGGCGGATAAGTCTCAGGCTGCTTCAGAAAAGTTCCTCGAGGAGCTGTCCTCGAGAGTGATAGAGGAGAAAATGGACAAGCTCGAGAAACCAATAAACCAGAGGCTGGAAAACATGGCCTTGATGATTGCGCAATTGCAACGCTTCATCGCAGACGCTGTCTGTCCAGATGCTGCAGGTGTCACTAAGTAAGCCCACTATGTCCCACCTTTCTCGATAAACAGAACTGTGTAATCATTGCCCATAGCATTCCATTGTAAGGAGGGTAGCAGACGAGGGCCGATATACAACAGGGACTGCCGGGTGAAAACTGACTCGATTCCATCGTCAGATTGCTTTTTTAATAAAAATAAAATCAATCATTTATTTCTTACAAAAATAAAAACAATATAAACGCATATACTTTTAAAAACAAATAAAATTCTCAGTCAGATCATTCAGTCTATTCTGGGTTTCCAATTTTCTGCCTTTTTGTGAAGATGATTTTTGTGAAGATTTGTGATTATGATAGATTGGCTTAATGGCATATTGCGTTCAATTTCGTCGTCAATCCATATAGACAGTCGTTTTTCCATTTCCTCTATAATGTTATTTCTAGAACGGGTAATTCTAGTTGCAGAACTGGACGTAGCTGCAGTTGCCAATGACAGTATTTTTTCTTTATTCTTAAGAGTTGTCCTTATTGTTGAAGTTGCCAAAATCAACGCAGCACTAATTTTGAGATTGACGTTCACCAGAATCTAATCTTCTAATCACTTGCATTTGAGTTTCCAGTGAAATGCTTTTTCTGGTTGCTTTCTTTTCTTGTTTTTTATTATCACCCATGATAAAAACTAAAGATCATAATATTTGTCACTGTATTAATCGTTATAGTATTATACAAATTTAAACTTACAATAATGTCAACAAATGTTGTTTCAAATGATAAAAAGCAAGAAACACAACTACACTGTTTCGGATATGTTATTTGGAAACCTAGCGCTGCGCACAATTTCGGAGAATCCCCGGGTTGAAATAAAAGAGCGCTAAACCGAAACAGCGCTAAACAAAACAGCGTTAAGCGGGGTCTTACTGTCCCAGTATCTCAACTTATGTAAATTGCCTCTCAGTCTTACACTAAGGTGACAATGAATGCACTGCATTTACCCTATCGCAATTTTTACATCTAGTAAATAATGTTCATCATGGAGTTAATATTAATATACCGCAAAACATTTGTCAGAAATGAGAAACTCTTATCATTCTTATCATTCTTTGTAATGGTTGTTTCAAAACGATTATGAACTTTCTTCTTTAATACTGAATACTGCATTTTTATCCGAATTACATAAGAGAATACTGTTTCAGTAATGTATTCATTCATATGTTTATAATCCTATTGCTTTGGAATTACTCTTCCAATATCTATTGTAATAATGTTCCTTCATGCTATATACCCTTGTATCCAATTATGAGTAAGAGGCTTCCCGTTTTATTTTTATGGAGCCTAAATGTATGCACCACTATGACGTTTTGGTTATTCATCGCAATAGGATTAATGTCTCTCTTTGTATTATACATATGCATTTCCCCACATGTATGATTTTTCTTTTGTATAAGTACTAATGTTTTAAAATTATATTACATAGATGCTTTTGTAATCCTTCTCTGTAGCAGGAAATGGTAATAATGAATACAAATTCTTCATATACCACCCAATACTTATCATAACTGAGGCACTTTCACCATGCTTACCATTGGTGCTATGCTTATTATATCAAATTCTTGTAACAAGTACTTCATATTATTATAATACGTTCCTGACACAGTGCTTTCTTTAGTGATCTTCGTACCTGTAATGGTTCTTACTATTTTTATAGAATGACTGCTGAATTTTTGTTTCTGTTTACGTTTCAATTTTTGTCTGTATTCCTTATTTCTATTTAGTTTGTCCTCAAGTTTCTTAGTTTCTCTGCATCTTCTTGCAATTTCTGGCTCTTCCCTTGTTATTTTTCTTTTTATACAGGCTGTTATATATTAATTATATATAATCTTCCGTTTTGTTTAATTTTTCTTTCCTTTCTGCATTTCTCTTTCCTCGCTATTTTTTTTCATATAGTTTAGCATTTTTTTTTCCTCTTATTATTTTCTATATTTACTTTATCTGTATGTATCTTCGCATTTTTACCTTTTCAGTACATATACCCTGTATTTTTGTATCTCATCTGTACTTTGTAATTATGTCTTTGTATTCTTGTACCTATTCTTTACAGTGCCCCTAGTGGTCAATCATGTAGATATAACACTATGTATGTATAAAACTCCATATCAATGTAATTATTATCCCCTTGTTTGGGCATGTATCAATTATTTAAATTCTGCAATAAATTCCCGGTGACCACTTCGGGTAACAGACGGCGTCGGGAACGGAATCAGGCGTTGGCTCTCGGCTCCGGGTGCGGGACGTTTGTTTGTCCCCTCCTCCCGGGGTCTGGTCTCTGGACAGGGGTGGGCGTGGTGCTATACCGATTCACCATTACGGTAAAGGGAAGGTGCCCACGTCCTCCGTCACTTGTCACTTGTATTTATTCTATATAATGCAGTAATGTTACTGTAAAGATTGTTTCTTTGTAGCTGGCCGTACTTCACAGTGAAGATAAGACTTAGGTGCTTAAGCCATACTGCTGCCTCCTTAAAGCATACATTTTGCCCGATTATTGATAATTTTCAGGAGTTTTCTAATCAAGAAATAATCTTAACAGTGCAAGAGAAACGACAACCCGTAATTTTTATTGTCTAACTCATGTGATAAGTTCAGCAATAATGGCAACAAAGCAACGGAGAAAAATTGGAAAGCCAATTTCCCAAAGCCTGTGCTCTACCCCTCCCCCCTTTTTACCCGATTCTTCGGAAGAACGCGAATTTTTATTCTAAAGGAGCCTAGATTAAACTAATGAAAATAAATTTTTAATAGTCATCTTAAAGTTTAGCGACAAAAGATAACTAACATCATCGACGGCTGATGAATTTTAACTTTTTACTTCTCTGTACGAAATAAAAAGGAAGTATTGTAATCGCGAAAAGCTTCAGGCATCATATTTCAAAGAAAATATCCATTTTGATCTCTACCGAATGCAGTTTAACGATATTTTTGCGTGACATCCGTAGGTAAGAATAGAATAAAAGACTCTTTTCCCCCCAAAAAAATTATAAAACTGTTTATAAATGAATTCTGAAGAGAAATTTTCGTGGCGTCTGTACATACGTATCTCGCATAACTCAAAAACGAGTAGCCTCAGAACGTTGAAATTTTGTATATAGGACTGCTATAACATGTAGATGTGCACCTCGTATTTTGGTTGCAATCGGCCGCACCAAAAATTACATAAATTATATGTATATATATATTCATTTTGTTACTCAGTAATCAGTTTCTTAATTCTTATATGTTTATAAATTGTGCATTTTTTGCTATAAAAATGATTGAATTAAGTTGTCCTTTTCTTTCGGTTAAGGTTTTTATGCCTTTAGTAAATCTGCATGCGAATTTTTAGAATTATTAACAATTTTAAAGTTGTTTAAGTGCCGCTATGTTTAATTATTTTTTCAATGGAGGCTATGTTTGTTTACATTTGAAACAGCAGAATAGTAGATTTGTTGCCAATTTAGAGAAAGTAAGCTTCGCAAAAACAAAGATAACGCCTTCTTTTATTATTGCGAAATAAACCATGCTTAATCGATTCTGAAATTTATTCGAGAAAATAAGTGTTTAAGATTCCCTTTATAATTTTCAATACGGATATTTTGAGGTTTTATGTATTTTTTCCTTGAAGTGAAAACTGAATTAATTGAATCAGAAATACCATTTCGTCTGTGAAAAACTGTTTCTTTTTTGTTTTGTTTGCTTAATTTCTTGTATACATTGTTCTAGATTTATTATAGTATTTGAATAGAACGTGTGGCAACGATTCGCCAATTCTTGAAATGATATAAATTTATATACATTCTGAGTTACACTATTAACGAAATTTAACAGTGTTAAGTGAACCTAGGGCCAGGGTGTCGCTATGGTAAACAAATAGGAGTGAATTTTAAAGAGTGCATTTATTCTATTGTGGTTTATGCGCTATCGACGAAATAAATTTAATCCAATCCAAAAAGTTTAAATGAAATGTAAGAAAAAATGTGTATAATTTAATATTCCAAACAAGGAAAACATGTGTTGTACACATGAGACTTTTTTTCTTTTTATTACAGTAAGAATTTGTCTTTCGTTTCATAGCAATAAGTGTCTGGTATACATGGCTTTCAAGAATTCCTGCATTTTATGACATAAATTTTTACAAATATTTTATCTTTAAATCAATTATAAATGTGTTTAGTTATTAAAGTTTCCTGTTCCTTATTATATACATACGCAATAATAACACATGAAACATTTTAATATGTTTCGAACTCTCCAAACGTTATGTCGGTGTATACTTCCCGTTGAAAAATTAATGCTTTCCGTTACGATAATTTCTTACCGTGTGTAATGGTTATTAGACTCGTTATTGGCTTCAAGAATTAAAAGAATTTACAGTTTTGAAGTAGCTGCCAAAATCAGAAAGATCCATTAAAATGGCGCAGTTCTAAATGCATAACTATGATTATTTTATAACAAAGAAGATGGTTGATGGTTTTTATAACAAAGAACAGAACTGTTTGCAGTTTTATTATGCAACATCCAGGTGGATTATGGGACCCTTGTAAAGATCGGAAGTGAATATGATAAAAGGGGCCCATAATCTACAGGCATACATTAGACATTTTCAATTGTTAGCGTATTTTTTTCCTTATGTGGATTACGTACAAATCACCAGAAAAAGCTTTAAATTCCTTGTGTTCCCTGTAAAAATACACTTTCGTCGCAAATAAGACACGGGAATTGTCAATTGCGTTTATAAATACTTACTTTTAAGTCCGAAGATATTAAGTGCAAGAACTATTGTATCGCTTCTGTTAATTCATTTTTTAAGATATTCTTGCATTTTCTCTTATTTTTTAGACTTATTGGTTGTCGTTTCTTTTAGATGTATGACGTGCGGTCGCAGAGCGAATTTGGCATACAGGTAAATATTATACTTAATAGTTTTTATACAAATAGCTTTTTGTCCATGATTCATGCGCGTTGTAAGGTATGAGTAGAATTCCTTTCACTGATTATATTTCGATCCAAAATCTGTATTCGGCACGTTTTATGGAATACGATGGAAGAATGAAATACTTCGACAGAAGTATAAGCCACCTGATTGGAAATCAGACCACTTGTTGCATATTTAATTATGATTCTTGAAACAAATTTAATTCGGTCGTATAAAATTGCTTCCATGGTATTGAAGTGTTACTCCTTTTTATCTAATAACTAAGTGTGGAAGAACCTCGTGAACAACTAAACGAAAATTACCGTTTGTTGCTCAACATAAGGCTTACCATGTAGAGCTATTAGGAATTTTTGAAAGCAGGAGACTTGAAAAATGAGCAACGCCTTCACCGGGAATCGAACCCAGGACCTCTGGAAAAAGCGCCCACCACACCACCCACGAAGGCAGGCTAGGAAGGCTGGAGAAATACCTTATATACTCCCCCTTTTTAAAGGGCGTCTGGGGTTTTCTAGGGGACCCAATCGCCAAATCCTGGGTGTGGAGATTCCTCATCCACCACCCTTTTAGTTCGGGCGCCACTGCAGAGCTATTAGGTATTTTCGGAAGCAGGCAAGATGAAAAATAAGCAACGCCTTCGCTGGGAATCCAAACGCGGACCTCTGGAATACGCGCCCAGCGTGCAGATCACCACACCATGAAGGCATGCCAAGAAGGCGGGAGAAATACCTTATAACCAGATGGCTCCTTTCTCGGGGTGTATAACAAATCCTCCACTAGGGTTTAACCTCAAAGTTATAAGGAATATGAAATTAACCCATTAACCGCCAAAACTACAAGGAATGTTTCTTTTCTCATGAAAATAATAAAAAATATTAAATTAAGTATTTATAACATAAATTTACATTGAAAATAAAAAAAATGCTCTTACGTGTGGAAAAAGCGAGTGTTGCGTTCGCGCAACGTTAGCGGAATAAGACTACGGATGTTTAGTGAATAGGATTGTACTCGTGTGATGTTTCTTTTGAGTGGAGCGCAGGATTACTTTTTAAGCTGTATAACGTTTTATAAAATCCCCACAAATCACTTTACTTGTAATTAATTTAATATTAAAATATACATTGTATTTCTTTACAAATACAGATTATTTTATTTGAAAACTTCAAGCATGAAAAGCTTGTTTACAATCATGACGTAAAGCTACATTACATACTCTGCATCTATAAACAGTCTGGCTATGGTACTCTTCACAACCAAAGTTTTGTTGTCAACGGACTACTTTACGATAAAATGTCTACCATCTCCATGCAATGGTTTTTGAATGCTGAATTTACTAGGTCTCTGTTGCTGATCTTTTTCTGGCTAATTCTACCCTCTCAATAGGAGTTTGAAAAAGGAATAATGCATTCTCGTGTCTGGAATCTAAAAGTTTCAGTAGTAAAAAGTGGTGATATTTAGTAAGTTTAGATACGGTATCACCTCATATAATTTATCAGTACTGTCAATTTGACTATTGTCAAATGCAAATTCTGCTTCATATTCCTGTACTGCAAACGTGATATCGATTCTCGTACAACAGAAACAGAAATGTCCTTATCAAAATACCAATACATTTTTTCTTGAGGTAAAGAATGTAATAATATTCCAATAAATGTAATAAGCAATAATATTCCAATAAATCTTCTCATATAGGCTTCAGATGCAATAAATTCTGAGCATTTTTTTTTTTTTTTTTTTTCCCCTGAGCGTATATATTTGTCTGTTCAACGAGAAGAGAGTAAATGTCTAAACCAAAACTAAAATCGAAAATCTGTACATTAGTTTTACCTTGTGTTTTGTCTTTTATAATTTCTCTTCTATCTCTTTCTTCATGTTCTTCCTGAGACATAACTAACAGTTCCTTTTTTATCCACTTCAAAATTTTAGTCTTCTGCTTTTTAAGCTTTTTAGTATGACTATAACTGATTTTAGAAGGCTGAAACTTACTTCTTACGTGAATTTCAACTTCCCCAGCAATATCATTTGGTAAAATATCATTATCATTATTTAAAACATTGCTATTCCTTTCTTCTTAGTCACTAGCCTCTGCAATTTCTGGGGGAACAACAACAATATCAGTTTCATTCTGGTCATTATGAACATTATCATCATCTGTTTCTTCATCAAAAAATCTTTTAAGGGCTTCTTCTAATGTAAGATACCTCGTTCTAGGCATTTTTAAACAACCAGAACATGAATCAGAACATCGAAAGTAATGAGTGAAAAAGGAGATTGATTACCCGTTTCCATGGGCCTGTCCATATCCCGTTTCCTGCTGACGTTTCGTCAACGCAACACCTGTTTTCATTCCCTTCCCAACACAAATATAGACATGTGACTGATGTAATGTTCTGATAAACGGTGACCTTGACTAAAAATAGATCACTCATAAAGACGGACATTCTTTCGTTAAATATTTTGAGCAAAAATACGCGTTCGAAAATTTTGCTTAAATTTTGCTTAAAGTATGAGATTAATTATTATAAACAAAATGATTGTTGAAGGCAAATATTTTTTACAGAAATAATCTTCATAATATTCCCTACATAAATCATCTGCTGGTATAAAATATCTTAGGTAGTTATATTTATATACGCATTTATTTTGATCGTTGCGTCAACGCAACACCAGAGGCTAAGGGTTAACTGATGGCTAACTAAAGAGATTTTGTCGAAGCTAACACAAGTAGTTGGCTCCTAAATATCGAATCAACTAGCAAAGCTATCAAAGGTCCTTAATATGGCCGAGAGTAGCCACAGCTTAGAGAGACGTGGCCAAAAGGCAAAAGCGCGCTAGTCGGAAACTCTGATAAATGTGTCTCACTCTCGAAGTCAGTGGAACTTCGACTTAAATACTACTCCTTCTCATTTGCATTAAACGCGATTCTAAAAACACGTTCTGGTAAGAAATTTATAAGCTGAAATTAGGAGAGATAGGAAAGGGGTTTTAACTTAAAAATAACTGGTATAAAGTTAGGATAAACTTTACAGTATATTAAACATTAACTTATCGGCTTCTGTCGTTCTGTTGAAAGAAGATCCGTGCCGTTTCTTTCGAGATGGGTTGATCCCATTTACTTTTTTGCTGCCAAACAAAAGGTAAACTTTTCCTGTTACTAACTTCCAAGCCTGCGCATATAACTAGTGCTAGAAATATTATGTTTATAAAACAGATGAAAGTAAATAGTAAATGAAAACACAAATTTTTATGAAAATACTACTCTGGTACCATTAGTGACACGCCTCTTATACATAAGTGAGAGTTAACTTGTGTTATAGAACATGGCAAACTTCTGAAACTATAAAAATATAAACTTCCCCTATAAACGACATTCTACAGCAAATGCGCAAATGGGTGAATTGAATGCAACGAAATTTTGTATATGGGCTATACAAGAGATGCGCTCACGGAATTTCGAAACAAACATTTTAGTTACAAAATGTCCATTAGAGGACGCCTTTTCGGTAAAAACAGGAAATTTAACACAACAAGCTACCAAAATGGAATACAGAAACAATATTAACATTTATTGACTAGTTTCTAATCAGCTTGTCATCGAATCACATTAAGTAAACGTAAGGGAGACTCAAAAACAGTTCAATTTGCAGAAACAAGAACAGATTAGGACGAAATTGCACAAGAGAATGGTTTTGTTAATTGTGCCCAGGATGATGGTGGGAAAGGTGCTCCACATGACCACCCTCATTCACCTTCAAAATTTCAAGTCGATGGACAGTGCGTTCAATAGCAGATCGTAATTGATCAGTTGTAAGGCTAAGCACACGAAGCGTTATGGAGTTCTTTAACTCATTCAAAGTCTAGCAAGGCGTTACGTCTAGCGAACGTGGTGGCCATGGATTAGGAAAGGAGCAACTAATAACACGTTCCTCTGCGAAGTGTTGGAGCAATAACGCCTTCATGTTTTCTTCGATATGTGGGGGCACAACATCCTGCATGAAATTGGTCAATGTAAGTGAAATTCCCATTGTATTTCCATTGTATTGGCCTTACTGTATTTGTGGCACAACAATTGTCTGCAGCATGTCATGGTACTGACGGCCCGTAACGGAACATGTATTGGCTTTGCTGTATTTGTGGCACAACAATTGTCTGCAGCATGTCATGGTACTGACGGCCCGTAACGGAACATGTATTGGCTTTGCTGTATTTGTGGCACAAAAATTGTCTGCAGCATGTCATGGTACTGACGGCCCGTAACGGAACATGTAGCAGGCCCGAGTTCCTCAAAGAAGAATGGCCCAAGGATGAATGTCGCCGTTAATCTACCCCAGATAGTGACCCTTTGGAGACTGTATAGGAATTTCAGTGTGTATCCGCGGATGTTCCATAAGCGATAAGCAACAGAGGACGTGAGCACTGTCCCTTTGCCATTCGGTTAATCAGTACAGCACCACTTCCACCCTTATCTAGAGTTGGCCAGTTGGTGTGGCCACACGAGAGCCTCGTACAAGACTCCCAGATAAAGCGCCTAGAGCATCAGGTGGGCGGTCGAACAAACCAATATGCCCCCGGGAATTCCCCCTCATCCAATCGCCCGGGCCCAGTATTTATTGAAACAATATCAATCAACATATGGGCATACAAGGGCTTTGTCAACATGGTATGACAGACTGTTGTTATTACTACATAGGACTTACATGACGATGACCTCCTACACATTCTTGGTTATTACCTAAATAAACATGCATACATATAAACATTACAATATATACAATTGTATATTGTACATTATGCAATACTTGCGCTATACTGTACCTTATATTACGTCACACATAAGATACTTTACTTTTGTACATTTCCCTATATTACAATGTGCGTTATACCATACAGTACATTTTACCATACTTCGCATTACTTTATACATTTGCCTTACGTATTCAAACATAGAAACAGCCATTGAATACATATTA